ATCCGGGTTGGTTTTGAAAGAAAACAATTGTTTGCTCCCACCTGGAGCTAAGTAAGATCGGCGCTGAAGATTATGCTTTGTGGTAGAACTGCTGAAGTCTGTTTCAACTTTGATAGCATAAGAGCGCCTAAACGAAGTAAAGTCATGAAAAGGTGTCTTACTCAGGTCCAGCTTGGTTTGAAAAAGCAATCGTTTGCCCCCAGCTGGAGTTGAGTAAGACTACTGCTGGAGGCCTGCTCTTGGCTGAACTTGGCCAAGTTTGTTCCAACTTTGTTTGTTCGCGTCAATACTGACATGTTGACGTGTTGATACTTAAAGAAGCTCTGTGGATGCAAAGATGTTTACTTAAGATATGCCAGCGTGGTTTCCACCAAGCAACTCCACTTGGCTAAATAGAGATGTTTTACTTAAGATATATTAGTGCGGTTTCCACCAAGCAATTCCACTTGGCTAAATAGAGATGTTTACTTAAGATATATTAGTGTGGTTTCCACCAAGCAATTCCACTTGGCTAAAGTCCAATTTAGTTGCCAAACATAATTCCACCAAGCAATACCACTTAGCATGTTTGAGTGCTAATCAAATTTAAATTCCGTTCAGTCGTTCTGAAACTAAGTCCGTTTGGGTTAAGGCCAAAGCTGATTCCGTTTGGGAAGTACCAAAGCTAATTCCGTTTGATAAACATCAAAACTATTTCCATTTGGTGAGAACCAAAGCTAATTCTGTTTGGTAAGAGCCAAAGCTAATTCTGTTTGATAAACATCAAAGCTATTTCCGTTTAGTAAGAACCAAAGTTAATTCCGTTTGATAAACATCAAAGCTAATTACAAGAATTTGATAAATTTAAGAAAAGTGCCTTTACAATCTGATAAAGAAAGTGGGACCATCTTATTGATAGTATTTCTTAAGATTTGCTACGTTCCAAGGCCGAGGTATAGCTCTGCCACTCAGATCCTCGAGGTAGTAGGCTCCATTTCCAACGACGATTGTGACTCTGTAGGGACCTTCCCAGTTTGGCCCAAGTTTGCCCTCGCCAGGCACCCTTTTGTGATTCATAACTTTCCTTAAGACCAGTTCTCCTGGTATAAATTGCCTTGGGAAAACCTTTTGGTTGTAACTCTTGATGAGCCGCTGCTGATACGCTACAAGTCTGATCAGCGCTGCCTCTCTTCGGCCCTCTGCCATATCCAGTGCTTATGCAATAGCTTCCTCATTACTGGTGTTCTCAAACAGTTCGGATCGAAGGGTTGGGAGGCTGACTTCGAGTGGGATGACGGCCTCCATTCCATAAGTTAGGGAGTAAGGTGTTTCCCCCGTTGAGCGCCGTGCGGTGGTTCAGTATGCCCATAGCACGTGGGGTAACTCTTCAACCCATTTCCCTTCGGCATGCTCAAGCCGTTTCTTGACTCCGTTGATGATGGTCTTGTTTGACGTCTCTGCCTGTCCATTGCTTTGCGGGTACCCTGGAGAAGAGTTCCTGTACTCAATCCTGAGGTCAGCACAAAACTTTCTAAAGATCTTTCCATCAAACTGTGTTCCATTATCCGCAACCAGTACCCGCGGGATGCCGAAGCGCACCACCACATTTCTCATAACAAATCGCTTTGTACCTGCTTCTTTGATATTTGCCAGTGCCTCAACTTCAACCCACTTAGTGAAATAGTCGGTTGCAGCAATGAAGAATCGCCTGTTCCTAGTGCCTTACGCCAATGGTCCTACAATATCCAGACCCCATTACGCAAAAGGCCATGGGCTGGTGAGTGGAATGAGAGTTTTGGCTGGCTGATGGATGAGTGGAGAAAATCTTTGACATTTATCACACTTCTGTACATATTGCTGTGCATCTTTTTGCATCTGTGGCCACTAGTACCCGTGAGTGAGGGCTCGGTGTGCCAATGACCTTCTGCCAACGTGGCATCCACAAATCTCATCGTGAATTTCGTAGAAAACATTCTCGACGAGATTTGGATGTACACATAGGAGGTAGGGGCCAAGATAGGAGCGTTTGTAAAGCTTCCCAGACGGTGAGATCCAGAAACGAGCTGACTTGTGTCTGACCTTGTTGGCTTCCCTTTTGTCTTCGGGGAGTGTACCAGATTTCAGAAAAGCAAATATTGGATCCATCCAGCTCGGCTCTAAGTTGTTACAGAGGACTGGAGATGCAATACTTGGTTCTGGCATAAACTCAACCCAAACTCTTCTGGCATCCTTTGTATCCACTGATGAGCCGAGGCATGCCAAAGCATCGGCGTGGCTGTTTTTGTCTCGACTGATTCGTTCTACTCGTATGGATTGAAATTTTCTGAGCAGGTCCTTGGCCTTGCCTGCGTACATAGCCATTATTTTATCTCGTGTTTCATAGACCCCAGAAAGCTGGTTGACTACTAGTTGTGAATCACTGAAAACAAGAAGCTATTCTGCACTAAAGTGTTCAGCACTACGTAAGTCAGCCAATAACGCTTCGTACTCGGCCTCGTTGTTTGAAGCCTTCCAGCCGAGTCTAAGAGCCTGTTCCCAAATAAACCCTTCTGGTGAAATAAGTACTACTCCTGCCCCCGAGCCTCGGTTATTGGACGATCCATCAACATAGAGCTGCCAAATGTTTCCAATAAAGAGTTTTCAGGCTTCCGAAGCGCAGGCTTTCCTTGTTCGGTGGTGCATAGAACCTGTGCTGAACTTGGATCCCCCAGTTCGGTACTCTGGGTTAGAGCAAATTCTGTGACAAAATCTGCTAAGACCTGGGCCTTGATCGCTGTCTTGGGGTGATACCGAATGTCAAACTCACCAAGTTCTACCGCCCACTTTACTGTTCTGCCAGAGAAATCGGCTCGGCCGAATACAGATCTGAGGGGAAATTCAGTGAGGACATTAATGGTATGCCCCTAGAAGTAATGCTGTAGCTTTCTTGAGGCGATAAGCAGCATGTATGCTAACTTTTCCAACGGTAGATACCGTGTCTCGGCATCTAGTAAAGTCTTGCTAATATAATAGATAAGCCTCTGTTCCTTGTCAACTTCTCGAACTAACACTGCCCTCACGGCATGATCTGAGACTGCTAGATAGAGGTAAAGTGCTTCGGTATATTCGTTACTTTATTCAAATGCTGCCTTTTTCCTCAAAAGCTGAAAGAAGGGCTTCATCCGATCTGAGGATTTGGTAATAAACCGATTCAGTGCGGCCGCCATTTCGGCTAGTTTCTGCAGTTCCTTAGCCTTTGTTGGTACTTCAAGATCCTATATCGCTCTGATCTGATCCGGATTCGCTTCAATTCTCCTGTGAGTGACCATGTATCCCAAGAACTTCCCTGTTCCTAATCCGAAGGCGCATTTCGAGGCATTGAGGCGAAACTGGTGGTTTTTCAGGATGTCAAAAACTTCTCTCAAGTCTGCAAAATGGTTTGTAGCGAACTTGCTTTTTACTACCATATCGTCTATATATGCTTCATGATTTTTCCCAGTTGGTCCTTGAACATTCGTGTAATCATTCGCTGGTAGGTTGCCCCAGCGTTCTTGAAGCCGAATGGCATTACTTTGTAGCAGTAAGTTCCCCTTGGAGTGATAAACGCTGTCTTTTCTTGATCCGGACCGAACAGTGGTATCTGATGATAACCGCTATAAGCGTCCAGAAAGCTCATGCGCTCATGCCCTGTTGTTGAGTCCACTAGTTGATCAATGCGAGGCAGCGGAAAGCTATCTTTAGGGCAGGCTTTGTTCAAGCAAGTGAAGTCAACGCAAACTCTCCATTTTCTGTTCTTCTTCTTGACCACAACCGTGTTGGATAGCCATTGCGGGTACTGAACTTCCCTGATTGCTCCTGAAGCCAGGAGTTTTTCAACTTCGGCAATTACTGCTTCGGTGTGCTCGACTTACGATCTCCGACTTTTTTGCACAATGGGCCGAGCTGAAGGGTTGATGTTGAGCTTGTAGCAAGCAAATTCTGGGTCCAACCCTGGAGTATCATAGGCTGACCATGAGAATACCTCCATATTTTCCCTCAGCAGTTCCAGCAGTTGAAGTTTCTCATCAGCGCCTAGCGAGGTACCGATAAGGAAGTACTTTTCTGGGTCGTCTTCTTTTACCAGGACTTTCTCTAAATCCTCTACCATCTTTTCCTCTGGGGTTCCCCCTACATCTTCCAAGACTGGCTATTTGGCCACTTCTACCGTCTGTACCTGATTGCAGAGCTGTTTTGCCTTTAATGTTGCCATGAAGCAATGTTTGGACGCAACTTGATCCCCTGAAATCTGCTCTACTCCGTGTTCCGTTGGGAAACGGATGAGCTGGTGATAGGTTGAAGGGACTGCTTCTATTCGATGAATCCACGGACGGCCAAGTATGGCGTTGTAAGGGGATGGTGTATTAATAACCAAAAACTCTATCTGGAGGGTTTTTGTCCCCGCCACGACTGACAACACTATTCTGCCAAGCGGCCATTCTGGCTGTGAATTGAAACCGACCAACGGGGCTGCCGCTAGGGTGAGGTGCTGCTCAGAGAGACCAAGCTTTTTGAATAAATCGTAATACAGTATGTCTGCTGCACTGCCCTGATCTACTAGGACTCGTTTTACGTCAAATCGTTTCCCAATTCCCACATTATGTTATTCACTGGGTTTTAGCTCACTGCTCATATATATATGTAGGTGTACAGGCACCAGATCGGAGCTAGGAGCGTCAGGGTAACTCCAGTTTTGTCAAGCCAGCCTTTGTGCCTCACTGCGAGGTTCCGAGTTGCCATGCTATGGCTTTGGGGTGTTTTGTTTGTTTTCCCCCGTCTGTCTCCATACTGTTTGGATTACTGTATAGACTGTCAGTTACTAACTGTACTGTTATCAAGGGATTAGGTCCCTGTACTGTGTGACTGTAAATTTCGTATAGACTGTACTGTTTGTGTATGTATGAATGCACGAAAAATCCTTTTGGCATGCAGACTGTCACAGCTCATTGGACATTGTTTAATTACTGTATTGGCTTCCGCCAGGCCCTGTACTCTGTTTTACTGTATTAAAACTCTATCTGGAGGGTTTTTGTCCCCGCCACGACTGACAACACTATTCTGCCAAGCGGCCATTCTGGCTGTGAATTGAAACCGACCAACGGGGCTGCCACTGGGGTGAGGTGCTGCTCGGAGAGACCAAGCTTTCTGAATAAATCGTAATACAGTATGTCTGCTGCACTGCCCTGATCTACTTGGACTCGTTTTACGTCAAATCGTTTCCCAATTCCCACAGTTATAATTAATGCATCAGTATGTGGGTGCTGTATGCCTTCTAAATCTTTGCTAGTAAATGAAACTGTGCACAAGGGGGATTTAGGTACTGTACGCACCTTTTTTGATGCAGGCTCCACGGGCATGACCCGCTGAATTTGTGCAGCCTTAGCAATCTCTTCTTTCAGTGCCTCTTCAGATTCTTGAATCGCTATCCCGTGGATCACATTTATTATCAGTCGAGGTGGATGCTCAATGTTTGCTTCTGGTGGTGGGTTCCCTGGTCCGGTCATTTCCTTATTCTGATCAATGTAATCCCTTAGGTGTCCAGCTGTCACTAGGTCTTCCAAGTGTTGCTTCAGTGCCCTGCAGTTCTGAGTCATGTGCCCCCTGTCTTGGTGGTAAGTGCATCTGAGCTTCTGATTGCGCCGAGCTGGATCTCCTAACATTTTTGGCGGCCAAACAAAGAATGGCTCTCTCTTGATCTTTTCCAGAATTCGATTGATTGGCTCTTTGAATACAGTCACAACGGCTTCATGGGATTTGGACTTATCCACCTCATTTACTGCAATCCCTCGGTGTTCTCCTCGATTTGTTCTCTTCTTATGCCGAGTTATTTGTTCTGCTGACGCTACCTCGATGGGGATCTGATCATCTTCGAGACGAGCGTACTGCTCAATCCTGGCGCGCAAGTTTTTCAAAGCTGTGGCCGGGCGCTTGGTAAGTGATTGTCTCAGCTTACTTTTCGGGCGCAGACCATGTTTGAAGGACATAACGACCATCTGCTCACTACACATATTTTCCTCCAAGTCATTGTATTTTTCCTAGTACCTCCTAGCATAATTGCGCAGCGTTTCCTCCTGCTCTTTTCGGAGGCCGAACAGTGTATCCGGCTCATTCGGGATCTTAGTGTTGGAGACGAACTTGGCTAGGAACTCTTCAGAGAGTTGCTTCCAGCCATGGATCGATCCAGCGGGAAGACGATTGAACCATCGAAGTCCGATTTCTCCCAAGCTGGATGGGAAGACTTTACACATCAGTGCCTCATCTCGGTTCCATAGGGACATCATCTGTCTATAGCGGCTAATATGTGTCAGCGGGTTCGACTTCCCGTCGTATGAAGTGAACTTTGGTGGGGTGAATTTCTTTAGAGGTCTCATGGTCTCGATCTTCGGGGAGAATGGCGAAGAGACGAGCCTATCCAGCGCTCGATGTTCCCTCTGGTGAACAGTACGGTCCAGATGATCCCAATGTTGTTCATTCTGCCTATTGCTAATCAACCAAGTACGAAGGTCCTGAGGAGGATATTCGGTCTGTTGACTAACGGTCTTCTGCCTCTTGGCCCTTTTCCGGCGTGATCCACGGGTGAGACTGCTTGCTGCCTCACTCTGTACCGGGATAGGTTGGCTTTGTTGCCTAGACTCATTCCTGGGGAACTTCTTCACTGGTGGCTCTCTGGATGAGCTCCTTCGTCGCAAACGAGAGGGCTCCGCTTCCGTCTTCTTTTCTGTTGGATCGCCCAGCACCCTCTTAAGTTGGGCTTTCAACTCCTGTATCTCCATCCCCATGGAGTCTATGATGCGATCTCTATAATCCTTTTCCAGAAAAAAGTGATGAGAGGAGCCTCCAGCGAAGGGTAATCGGTGCTCGACGGATTCAGGGGTTCGATTATTGTTTCCAGTTTGTTCCTTCGGGATTGTTGGGAGTGCCAAACCTTTATCCTTCGTCTTCTCCGTCTGTGGAGTATGTGTTGAAGGCGGAACGTCCTCAATCTCCATCGCCGGAACCGAGTGCAAAGCTCAGAGATGAAGTGTCTACGCTCACCGCACCAATTGTGCATACCGGATTCCGCACTAGATGAAAGTGGATCGGGGCTCCGCATTCGGTTGGACTATCTAGGGACTAAAGTTCCTGCGACAAGAGGCATCGTTAGAGCTACCCGGCCGGGGTTGGCCGGATAACCCCTCCGGTGTGGGAATTAGTGATCGGAGAAGGGAGTTGAGTATGGTTTTGCCTGGAATAGTTCGGTTCTATTCAGTTACCTTCAATGTAAAGTTCATGTAGTATATATATGTTGTTCCTTGCTTGCTTCTCAAGGTGGATTCATGAAGCTTGGATGCTGCCAGGTGTCCTTTTGGCTTTGCTTATGGTGGGGGACCACCTATTAGTTGCCAATAAATACATATACTCATTGTAGTCATGCTGATAACAAACCACATTCCTTTGGCTCAACAACTTCCGTGATTCTAGGTGTAGTGTAGGGAACCAGTTGAGGTGGCAACCTGCACATGCACACGTTCACAGCTTCCACGTTTCTTTGCGGGGTTTCCGTAGCTCAGTACCGATGTTCCTCAGCTCGGCATCATTATGCCTTGTCTCGGCCTTTTACAGGATCACTCATGAAGATGGGCTTGTCCATTCAGGTAACTTTGCATGGGCTCGGCCTATTTTCTGTTCGGCCCGTAGATTCAGTCTCGCAGCTCGGCCACGGCTGGACTGGCCTCTTCACTGCGGGTTGGACCCAAGTGCTTGAGGACTTGGGTGGACTATTGGTCATGGAGTTAGGCTTAATTGGTTTGCCCATATACTCACCTAACCCACTTGGATTTGGACTTCAGTGGATTGGGCCGGCCCAAGGCTTGGACCCGACCCATTTCACGTTTAGCCCCTTCACTAATTATATTATTATGCATGCAATCTATTATTTAAAATTTACTAATATTAACATTCTGTAAACCTCATTATAACAAGATAAGCATGTGCCACGTTAAACTTCATTATAACATTATAAGCAAGTACCACGTTATAACATGATCAGCATTTACTAACATTAACATTCTATAAACCTCATTATAACATTATAACATGATAATCAAGCACCACGTTAAATAACATGATAAGCAAGTACCACATTAAACTTCATATAACAAGATAGTTGAATGTTTAACCACGGGGTGATAATATATTATTAAACACTAATATTGTGTTTGGCTGGAGAATTAAGGAGAGATTTGAAAAACAAAAAAAATAGAAAAAGTAAGTGAAATGTGAATAAAACATACTTATATTTCACATAATTTCACTCACATTTTCCTTTTTTCTTTTCAAATCCCTCTCAAAATTCCCCAACCAAATATAACGTAAAGGAAAGTTACGATACACACCTTTTAAAAAGATGCATATTATATATATATTTTTTATATTTACACCAAAATTATTCTTTAATAATATTTTAAAAAAGATATCACAAAATCTCATAGTTTTACTTATCATAAAATTTCATAACTAAAACTTTTTATATAATACACTTTTTACACCATATATTTCGTATCTAATTGTACAAAATCTTGTTACTTTTTTGCATAATAAATGAAAAATTACAAATCAGTGATATTTTTATGAAATATTTACATATTTATAGAAAAATTTATAATTTTAATTATTAAAATTAGTAAGATTTACCACTAATTAATTTTTTTAAATATACTCTGAATTGTAATTTCTCTTATAATAAATTGTGTAGCAAAAATTTTCCCTAACCAATAATGATAAGCATGAGACTTCTCACAGTATTTGTATGACAAAAATACTATTATTATAGAATTTTAGAAAAATTATAAAAAAATGAAAAATAAAAATCTAGGTTTGACGTTGATAATGAATTAAAGGGTTGGGTTTTTCTCATATTCACATTTTAACATAAGAGAATTTGTTCGAGATTCGAACCGTTCATTTGTAGGACCCTCGATATATATCATCCATAAAAGAAATTAGGTTGATTCATTAATCATAACCTTTTAATTTTGTAGCCTTTGTTTTTGAAAAGATAGACGGCAAATATACTTTTGAATATAGACCATTCATTTTTTTAGAGACAAACACGATAAAATGAAAAATATTTTGATTATTGGATTAACCTAATTTTTATTTTTTTTCCATATATGGTAATATGGAAGGCTCTATAAAATGAACTATTCGAATAATCGAAATGAGACTTATGATGGGGCCCACTGGCCTCTCAAATTCTCTCATGTTGAGATGTAAACATGAGACAAGCTCAACCCTAAATCAAATATTAAATGTGTTGCCCTGAGTCTTTTAAAGCAATTTGAGTATATTAATCTGTAATTTCTATCTCCTTTATTGTCTTCGTCACTGTTGAGCCCTTTGAGGCTCATATTGTTACCTATTCATTCATTGTAATTGTTTATATACATTTTAGTGTGTCCCGAGATGTCATTTTGTATATTTAGGTGTTGGAGTGAATCCGAGAATGATGGGAATGCTTTAAGGTTATTTTGTCTCACTTTTAAGTTGAGACCGCTTGAGCGGTCCTTTCGTCGCTCGAGCGGTAACGTTGACCTCCCGGCATCTAGTTTTTCAGTTTGAACTTCTAAGAGTTTGTATTTTTCCCTCAAGCAAAGGTTTCATTGCTCGAGCGGTCTTTGGCAGGAAGGTGAGAGATTCTAGAAGTTTCAATTGTTCCTTCGAGCGCAGGTTTGGTCACTCGAGCAGTCTATCCGCAGTCTATTCCGAAAAATGTATCCAATTACTCAAAAGTCGGATCCTTGCACCATTTTCTTTCACTTTTCACTTCACTCTCTCTCTCTCTCTCTCTCTCTAGATTTCACTTTCCCCTTTTCTTTTTTCTCTCTCTAGAAAACCTTTCCACCCACCTCATTTATTTCTTTGATCTACCAAATCCATTGAGTTTTTTACCCTAGTGCCTTCATTATTATTGGAGAGCTTACAAAGAGCAACATTGTGTACAGTGGAGATCAAGTTTTGACGCCGTTGATTTTGAAGTTTTTCTCTCATCTTTATTCCAAATTTTGAGGTAGGGAGTTCTTTGAGTTATATATATGATTTTAGCATGTCTAGTCCTTTTTTGTTTTCAGCTTGAATGTATGGTTGGATTTTGTAGTGTGGTCTTGAAAATGTTGAAGAAAATGATTTTGCTTATGAGAATGTTCAAATTAGAAATGTTTCATGAACTTATGAAACTCTTGGAAGCACCTTGTGAGGAGAATCTATGAAAAATGAAGGAAACACCTTTTGGATCAAACCCTAGTTTTGAAGAAATTTGAAAAAAAAAAATGAATTTTGTGAAATTGTTGTTAAATCTCTCAAGAAATTGATAAAACTTGGTTATGTAGTAGAGATATCCATGGTATGGATAAAAGTTGTTGAAAAATGTTGATGACCTTGAAATGTATAAGTTTGTCTATGAGATGAATATCGATTATGCATATGAAGTGGTACAAATGTCACATTGATTTATGTTTTGTCATGATTTTAAGAACTATTGAACAATGGAAGTTTACTTTGAATAAGTGTTGAGAATTATTAAAATATTACACAAATGAGATACCTATGTGTGATTACCTCCCATTTCATTTTTGTGCATCATTTTGAATATTGTTCAATTACGGTTATGCCCTAGAAATTAATTCATTGTTTTGAGAAAACAGCTACTATTATTGAAACTTTTTGTGGTAAATATGTTTGGTAAGTCCGGATAGGGGGTGTAATTGGTACTGTTTAAGTTGGCTTGAGCATTCAGGGCGAAAGACTGAAAACACACGCGGAGGAGGTACCACGTACCTTCCGGTTAGGAGCCGGTAAGGTGGGGGATTGGTAGTGCTTGTTATGCCTACTTGCAGACACCAGTCTACGGATTACCTGAGTCGTATTTACCACACCTCATTGTCTTAATTTGAATTTCATGGGGAAGATCAACATTTCGATAGGAACATTGCATGTGTTTCAAAAGAAATGGAAA